CTCATTAGGTGTTTTCCCGGTCTATCTCCCCATCTATACCTTTCGCTTGTTAATTTATTAAAGACTCTTCTTTTTTCTTCCTCCATTATCCTCTCTAATTCATCTTTCTTTTTTGTTATCTTCTGCCTTATTTCTTTCAAGATGTTCCTTTTGTGGGCCTGTTCCAGATCAGCTATTTCATTTAAAAGTCTATTGATCTTTTCTCTCCTTTCTCTTTTCTTTTTTGCCCCTATTGCGATAAGTAGTCCTCTGATATAGGCTTTATGATGAGCTTCCCACAATGTTGCGACCGAAACTTCCTCAGTGTCATTCTCTTCAAAATATCTTTCAATTTCTGTTTTAATCTTTTGGTTGACCTCCTCATCCAATAAAAGTGCTTCATTCATCCGCCACATAAAACCACCTCTGTCTTCACTACCCCATCTTAACTTCATTGCAACCGGAGAGTGGTCTGAAATAGAACTCCCTCCAATCATAACCTCTGCCACAGAGTCTATAAATTGATGTTCTACCAATACATAATCCAATCTGGAGTAAGTCTCGTGAACATGTGAGTAAAATGTGTAATCTCTATCCTTCATATGCCTAATTCTCCATATATCCACCAGCTGACACTCATTTAATGATTTCTTTAATAATCTCAGGGACCTATATTCCTCTTTCCTCACTTGGGAGGTAGAATCCAGCCGTGGATCCATACAAAGGTTAAAATCCCCCGCTACTATCAATCGACCTCTTTTAAAATCCATCAGCCTCTGCAATACTTCCCTTAGGAATATCTCTGGTTTCTTATTTGGGCAATATATACTAGCCACTGTACAATCAATATCCTGCAACTTACCCCTTAGGAACAAAAACCTACCCTCTGGGTCTGTTATTCTCTTCTCCACATCAAACCTAATATTTTTTGCAAACCCTATAGCTACCCCTTTTGCTCTTCTAATTGGTGAGTCCGCATAATACCATGTCGGAAAATATCTTGAGCGCAGCCCAATCTTAGATTCCAAATCCAAATGTGTCTCCTGCAAAAAAACCACTGAGGCTGTCCTGTGTTGTAACTCCTTCAATAATCTAAATCTCTTTCCGGGGCAGCTTAGTCCCTTTACATTAAAGGTTACAAACTGAACTTCTTCCATGTTGGCCTCCTCTTTCTTTTCTCTCTCTTTCCTCTACCCGTTCTCTTACCCTTACCCCTCCTATGCAGAGTATTACCCATCCATCTCCCCCCCCACTCCCCATCTCCCCCGCCCTCCTCCCCCCCCACATCCCACCCCCCCCCCCCCCCTCCTCCAGGCCTCCTCTGCCTATGGATCTTTATCCACCTTAGATCCCTACCTCAGGGGTTCAACTCCTCCCATGACCGCACACACCCCCCCCCCCTCCTCCCCCGTGTCCCTTTATCCATTGCTTCTCTATTTCTTTTTCTAACCGGCTGCCAATTTTCTTCCTCCAGATTATATACCTCTCCCTCCTCCCCTTCCCAACCCGGGATCTCTAGTTTCTGTATGTCAAATTTATCACAGAAATCCCCCACATCTTCTGGGAACCTCAGGACCGCTGTAATTCCTTCCCTCCATCCAATTAAACCCGCTGTACGACCCCATCTATAGTTCACATTATGCTTTTTCAATACTTCCAATAGGGGTTTCAATAATCTCTTTTTCCGCAAAGTCTCTGCTGTTAAGTCCGCAAAAATTTGGATGTTTTTCCCTTCATATACAATACTTGTTCTTCCTTTCACCTTTTTCCATATCTCTTCTTTATCACCGTGACTATGAAATTTAACAATTATGTCTCTTGGTTTCTCTACTCCTTTTTCTCGTTGAGACCTTCCTATCCTATATACTTCATCCAATTTACATATCGCCATGTCCTGATTATCCATTATGAAGGTCAAAATTTTGCCAATTAACTCTTTTAAATCTTCCCCCATGGACAGCTCTGGGACACCTCTCACTCTTAGATTGTTCATCCTTGCTCTGTTTTCTTGTTGTTCCATCATATAAAGCAGTCTTTTTAGGTCCTTTCTATTGTCTATTATCCCTTTTTTCAAGTTTGGGATAATTTGGGCATGCTTTTGAACTTTCTCCTCCGTTTCCTCCACCCTAGTTAACAATTGCTCCAGATCTTCCCGAATTATACCCATCTCCTGCTTTATTGATATTTCCAGACCTTTAAACATCTCCGCCATTTCCTTTTTATTTGGTATTTGAAGATCTCTTTCAAGTTCTCTCGTCTCAATGCCTTCCATTGATTGTTGGCTGTTATACACCGGACCCAGGGAAAGTCTCGGGCTGTTATCCAGGCTTATTTCCAATTCACTCTTTTCACTGATTCCCTGGGATCTATCTGGCGTGAGATTTCCCTGTGTCGTAAATTTTTTAATCGTGCCAGATTGGGGGTTCCTAGACCCAACCCCTTTGGTGTTTTTACCTTTCATAATTATTTTTGAAGTTTTATCCCTCCTCCTTTCCTTATAATCTGTCGGATCTTTGAACCCACCCTAGAACTCTCCGAATTCAAAATCCAAATTCCTTAAACAGCAGATGCAGAGCAAGGGAGAGAGAAAAAAAAAAAAAAAAAAAAAAAAAACAAACACTCTGCAGTGGAACTACTGTTATCACTCACCCTCCAAGTTGTAATGTACTTCAGGGTGCGAGTCTCTTCTGTGGCGATCTTCTCCTGGGGGGTAACTCTTTGTGATGTTAACTTCTTCTTCTAGGAACAATATGCGATTTCCCAATGATGTGGAAATAAAGGCTAGAGATGTATCTATAGTTGCATAAAGATAGTATAATTTGTTAACAGGGTGGAATAATTATATGAGGTGATATAGAGGTATGGAGGAGGGAGGTAAGGAGTATAATATTATAGTTCGATGATATATATAATCTCACGGAAACAGTGGCAGTACTGAGGCAGTATATCTGTGTTCCACCCTCGGGGTACCCGATCACGGGTTTCTCTCCTCACTGGGCTAGCTGGGCTTCTCCACTCTTAATGTGTCTGTCTCCCAGGGTATAAGCCAGGTGAACGGCGTCTCTCTCGTGTGGCTGCACCGTCCTAGCCGTCTCTGACGGCCGCACTCCTCGTCGCTCCGTCACCGCCAATAACCCCAGGGGAGCAGGAGCCTTTTCCAAAGCCTCTAAGGGAAGCCTGGAGATTCACTGAGTCCAAGGGAAACTGGTATGGGGTGCTAGGGATGCACTTACCCAGACCACCGCGGGGCCTTCCGATCGACAGCCGGCTTTGTTCCGGCCTTCGGCTTCCCGAAACGCCGGCCGGCCGGCAACTCTGTCTCCCAGTGATCCTCCGCGGCAGCACACGTGACTGCTATCTCCCGGCAACCGCTCTCCTTCTCTCGCCACTACCGCGAGATGATCCCCGGGGAAGCGGACGCTTACTGTCACAGTCCAGGCTCGGCTCCCCACAGTCTCCAGAAAGCTTCCTCAGCCAAGCAGGTGGGTCCACATATCTCCGGGGCAGCCAGTCCACAAACAGGGACACTTGAGGAGGAGATAGTCGAGGGAGGTTAACGGAGAGTGTTCACTCTACACTCTCCATTGCCGCCATGATCAGGCTCCACCCCCCCCCTAGTGACACCTCTGATGTACATACCATACCAATGCCCCTGAAAGCTGGAAATTTCGGAAGGAAACTTCTCTACACCAGTGATTTCCACTAGCTTCCGTATTGTGTTGCTGACCTGATGCATTCTGAATACAGAAGATCAGTTGCTCGGCACAGGGGTCCTTCAGTGAATAAAAAAGATAAAAGGACTCAGTGAGCGCTTACAATATAAACTCATAGAAGCAACTGTGCACAGTAAAGGTAACCATAAACCTTTCAAGGGACATATATGTAAAATAAGTGCAGAGCCAAGTATAATCCGGACAAATATATGGTAACAATGTTCATAAATGGGTTATTAGTCCACAATGCAAGAGCTCAAAGGGTGATATATTATTCCCACGGTCGTAGTTCAAGTAAGATTCGGTGAGGGGCAGGGTATGTATAAAATGCACACTCACCAGACGCGCAAAGAAAATGCGCAGTATATCAACAAAACGGAGGTCTGCCAGGGGGTCCCTTTCAGGATACGAATAGAGCCAGCCCAGGATGGATGAACATTGTCTTTCTCAAACCGGAGGTCCACTTTAAGGACACGGGTGCAGCCTCTTCAGTATAGTGGAACAGTCACCAGGGGGAGCTCTGGGGGATTAAATGCCCAATGCAGAGCAGCAGATGGAAATACCCATAGTGTAGTAATGTCAGAAAAATTTAATGAAGGATGTTATGCAACAGCAAAAAAAATATATCCTCATACATGTAAATGCTAAACATATATGCCAAAGGCTGTATCAAAGCAGTAGGCAGGAATATTACAGCAACAAGTTCTTTTGAGCACTAACCAGCTGGTGATCAAATGAGGCCGCCGGATCTCCGTGACCCGGCGGCGTGACGTGAAAGCTTGCAGGCTCCTCCAAGACGCGTTTCGTACACTAGTACGTCTTCAGAAGGGGTGGCACATCTGTTGCCCTGCATTGAGCATTTAATCCCACAGAGCTCCCCCTGGTGACTATTCCACTATACTGAAGAGGCTGCACCCGTGTCCTTAAAGTGGACCTCCGGTTTGAGAGACTATGTCCATCCATTCTGGGCTGGCTCTATTCGTATCCTGAAAGGGACCCCCTGGCAGACCTCCTTTTTGTTGATATACTGCGCATTTTCTTTGCGCGTCCGGTGAGTGCGCATTTTATACATACCCTGCCCCTCACCGAATCTTACTTAAACTACGACCGTGGGAATAATATATTTGAGCTCTTCTATTGTGGACTAATAACCCATTTATGAACATTGTTACCATATATTTGTCCGGATTATACTTAACGCTGCACTTATTTTACATATACTGTATGTCATTCAGTGAATACTTTGTATGGTAAATTGGCTATTACATAGAGTAATTTTGTGACTGATTTTCCTGTCTTTGCACACAGTGTCTAGATTTGTGAAATACACGGGATATGGGAATGCGGCTGGCTTGCTTGCTGCCAGAGGGCTGCTGGCAGGTGGACGTGGAGAAGGTCGATACTCTGAAGATGAAGACACAGACACAGAAGAGTACAGAGAAGCTAAAGCTAAGTAAGCGTAGCATCCCTCGATTATAAAATGGTTTAACGTGGTAGTAAACTCTAATTTTTTAAGTTATACCTACAGTTAACCACTTCGCGCCGGCGCCTCCCGGCCCTTTAAGAGTTTCAGAAGCCGGGGTTTTAGGGTCATGTGATTCGCCGTCACGGCGGTCACATGATCAAAAAAGGTCCCGATCGAAAGGGGAGATCAGGACCTTTCCGTGAGTCACAGACTCGTGCACATATGTACTTTCTAAATGGATGCAAATATGCAGCTTCTAGGCGTCAAGGTCTACATGCCAAGAGGCCGCATGTTTGCGTGCGCTTGGCGTCAAGGGGTTAAGCTTACAATCAGGCTTAGCTGTAGGTACAATGAATATCTCCTAAACCAGCATATACTCTTCAGGAGATATTCGCGTCGGAACTGGCCGATAACGTCACCTGTGCATGAGCAGTGACGCTATACATTCAGGGCATACAGTACGCAGAACTGCAGTGCGCCATGACGTGGCCAGGGATCCTGCGCGCATGCAGAAGTGACTTAATTGTGGTCACAACTATTCAAACTGCCGGAGCCTGCAAACTGGGAAGAAAGACAGGGTGAAGATGGAAGCACAGGGGATCTGTGACAGCATTGCACTGTAGGGCTCCATGTGCAGGCGAGTCTGTCATAATGCGATGCACACTAGTACATCATCACTTAAACCTGCATCGGGGCCCAATTTTATTTGTACTCCTGTAGCGGTTTACTACCGTTTTAAAAAGGAAGTGGCCTTCCGCAACCAGATTCAAATATTCATTCCCCCGCTGCCATTTTCCTATGCTGGTCTGAATCTATTCAGTGGCTACACAGCCATTTCTTATTTCATAAAAGCAGAGCTCCACCCAAAAGGGGAAGTTCCACTTTAAGGACTGCTCCCCTGCTCCCCATTAAGGATTGGCACTTTTGGTGAGCGGGTCCCCGAATTTGACAGGAACCACCTCCCATTTCCGGTCCGATCGCCTAGGCCAGGGGTAGGCAACCTGCGGCTTTTTAGCTGTTGCAGGACTACCAGTTCCATCATGCCTCTGCAAGTCATAGCTGTAACTGTCAGTTTTGTAATGTTGCAATGTCTCATGGGAAATGTAGTTCCACAACAGCTAGAGAGCCTCAAGTTGCCTACCCCTGGCCTAGGCAATCAGAAACAGAAGGTGTCCTCCCTCCCTGTAGTCTTTTGGGACACGTAACAGGTCCCAGAAGACTACAGGACCATTCACAAAGCGCAGCGCTATTCGCGCATGCGCAGTGGGCACCGCAAGCTATTATTATTATACAGTGTTTATATAGCGCCAAAGGGTATGCTCAGCGCTGTACAGTAGCAAGGGGGGACAGAACATGAGACAAGACAGTAACAATACAATACACGAGGGGGTCAAGGGCCCTGCTCTTTCGAGCTTACAATCTAGCAGGGAGGGGAAAGATGTACAGGAGGAAGTGGCTGTGGGGGATGGAGTGGTGGGAGGAGTGGAGGAGGTTAGTTGTTAGGTGAGGTTGGGGTAGGCTTCCCTGAAGAGGAGGGTTTTCAGGGTGCGCTTGAAGGTGAGGAGGGTAGGTGAGAGTCTGATGGATTGGGGTAGGGAGTTCCAGAGGATGGGAGAAGTCCTGGAGAAGTCTTGCATTCAGGCGTGGGAGGAGGAGACCAGGGAGCTAGAGCGTAGGAGGTCCTGTGAGGAGCGAAGGGCACGGGTAGGGTAGTATTTGGGTATCAGGTCGGTTAGGTAGTTTGGGGCGGCGTTGTGAATGGCTTTGTAGGTCAGAGTTAGCAGTTTGAATTTGATGCGTTGGGCAATCGGGAGCCAGTAAAGGGATTGGCAGAGGGGGTGGCAGATGTGGAGCGGTTGGTGAGGTGGATGAGTCTTGCCGCTGAGTTCAGGATCGACTGGAGTGTGGATAGCGTTTGTTTGGGTAGGCAAGCTATCACAGCCGGGTTCCCGCACTGAAGATGCCGGCCTCCTGGAATCCAGGTCGGCCAGTGAAACGCACTGCAGGGGACACACCACGGGACCGAAGGACAGGTAAGTGGCTGTTTTTTAAAAGTCGGCAGCTACAGTTTTTGTAGCTGCTGACTTTTTTTTTTTTTTTTTTATAGGTCGAGTGAAACTCCGCTTTAATGAATGAGATACAGTCTGCTCATAGGATTGAGCGTGAACCTCCATTGTACGATTGCCACATGGAAAGTACAACATAATGAACATAGCATACTCCATGTATATACATCATTTATAACTCCAAAACCAGAAGTAAAGTGTGTAAAACAAATCTTTGTTCTCTTTTGTTTTTGTACAGCATTAACCCAGTGACGGGACGTGTGGAGGAGAAACAGCCCAATCCCATGGATGGCATGACGGAGGAGCAGAAAGAGTATGAAGCCATGAAGCTGGTCAGCATGTTCGATAAGTTGTCAAGGTCAGTTGTGATCGGATTTATCCAGTTGGATGACAGCTCGGGGGGTGCGTACAATGGTTTTAGAGCTGTGATATTTTCTGGATATGCAAATTCTTTAATCAAAATTTGGACAGTAGCGTGCTCGCTCTATTAACACCTTCCTTGCCCGCCCGACAGCAGATTGATGGCCAGGCGGGACACTCCCCTTTGTGACTGGGCGTCTTCTGACGTCCTGTCAAAACGAGTTGCTCGCGGGGCCGCACAGTGACGCGATATGCTACACTATTAGCACTTTATTCTTTGTCTCGTTACTAACGAGCCTCCAAGGTGGAGAGTTCCCTGTTTTCCCGAGTTTTATCCGGTGGTTTGAAAATTCCTTGGAGCTGTCCCTGGATGCTGAGAGGGTCCTGTGAGAGAGGTCTAGCGTTGCCTTGTATGCTGACTGTGTGCCAGATGATTCCACCATCCTTGCCGATCCCCGGATGATTCCACCGTCCTTGCCTGTCCTCGGATGATTCCACCGTCCTTGCCGGTCCCCGGATGATTCCACCGTCCTTGCCGGTCCCCGGATGATTCCACCGTCCTTGCCTGTCCCCGGATGATTCCACCGTCCTTGCCGGTCCCCGGATGATTCCACCGTCCTTGCCGGTCCCCGGATGATTCCACCGTCCTTGCCGGTCCCCGGATGATTCCACCGTCCTTGCCGGTCCCCGGATGATTCCACCGTCCTTGCCGGTCCCCGGATGATTCCACCGTCCTTGCCGGTCCCCGGATGATTCCACCGTCCTTGCCGGTCCCCGGATGATTCCACCGTCCTTGCCGGTCCCCGGATGATTCCACCGTCCTTGCCGGTCCCCGGATGATTCCACCGTCCTTGCCGGTCCCCGGATGATTCCACCGTCCTTGCCGGTCCCCGGATGATTCCACCGTCCTTGCCGGTCCCCGGATGATTCCACCGTCCTTGCCGGTCCCCGGATGATTCCACCGTCCTTGCCGGTCCCCGGATGATTCCACCGTCCTTGCCGGTCCCCGGATGATTCCACCGTCCTTGCCGGTCCCCGGATGATTCCACCGTCCTTGCCGGTCCCCGGATGATTCCACCGTCCGTGCCGGTCCCCGGATGATTCCACCGTCCGTGCCGGTCCCCGGATGATGCCACCGTCCGTGCCGGTCCCCGGATGATGCCACCGTCCGTGCCGGTCCCCGGATGATGCCACCGTCCGTGCCGGTCCCCGGATGATGCCACCGTCCGTGCCGGTCCCCGGATGATGCCACCGTCCGTGCCGGTCCCCGGATGATGCCACCGTCCGTGCCGGTCCCCGGATGATGCCACCGTCCGTGCCGGTCCCCGGATGATGGCACCGTCCGTGCCGGTCCCCGGATGATGGCACCGTCCGTGCCGGTCCCCGGATGATGGCACCGTCCGTGCCGGTCCCCGGATGATGGCACCGTCCGTGCCGGTCCCCGGATGATGGCACCGTCCGTGCCGGTCCCCGGATGATGGCACCGTCCGTGCCGGTCCCCGGATGATGGCACCGTCCGTGCCGGTCCCCGGATGATGGCACCGTCCGTGCCGGTCCCCGGATGATGGCACCGTCCGTGCCGGTCCCCGGATGATGGCACCGTCCGTGCCGGTCCCCGGATGATGGCACCGTCCGTGCCGGTCCCCGGATGATGGCACCGTCCGTGCCGGTCCCCGGATGATGGCACCGTCCGTGCCGGTCCCCGGATGATGGCACCGTCCGTGCCGGTCCCCGGATGATGGCACCGTCCGTGCCGGTCCCCGGATGATGGCACCGTCCGTGCCGGTCCCCGGATGATGGCACCGTCCGTGCCGGTCCCCGGATGATGCCACCGTCCGTGCCTGTCCCCGGATGATGCCACCGTCCGTGCCTGTCCCCGGATGATGCCACCGTCCGTGCCTGTCCCCGGATGATGCCACCGTCCGTGCCTGTCCCCGGATGATGCCACCGTCCGTGCCTGTCCCCGGATGATGCCACCGTCCGTGCCTGTCCCCGGATGATTCCACCGCCCTTACATGTGCCCTGAGAAACGTCCATGGCGTCCAAAAAGCGTCCCTTTAGGTCAAAATCGGTTTTAGACCGGCTAGAGAACAGCGATAGTAAATCAGAACCACTTGCAGAATTGAGTGAAACTCGTCATCGTGGGGAAACTCGTCATCAGACACTGAAAACGATTCTGCGACTGAGCCCAGTGATGTGCGAACATTTACTAGACTCTTTTTCGGACAGATTTCAGTGAGTTCTTCCTACAAATTACAGACCTGCAATAAAAAAAATACATATTTCCATGCAAAAAATGTACTGCTTTGAGCACAGAAATATGGACATAATCAGACCACTAGGGAGGCTACTAGTAGTTGTTTTCTTTAACCGCTTGCTCCCTGTCCACAGTACATCTGCTGGGGGCGGGCGGCAGAGTCAGGCTAGGTGACGTATTGGACACAGCATGAGTTTATCGGCAGATTTCAGCCAATGATTTTGGTTATAAATCTGCTGGTTGCCTGTGGCCAATCACAGCACAGAGTTTTCTGTTTACAAACACACAGAACTCTGTACACAGAACAGTGAACTGTCTGTTTCTTTTCCCTGAAAATCAGGGAGAAGAAACACCCTGATCTGTGTGCAGAAGCAGCACACAGTTGTTATGCATACAGTTAACCCCCTTGGTTTCCGCTTACTAACCCCTTCCCAGCCCGTGTCATTAGTACACTGTACAGCAATATATATGATCACTGTATTCGTGCCACTAGCAACGTCCGTGTCAGTTAGTGTCCATCAAAGCCAGTGTCTGTTAGCGCCAGATTGCCTATCACAGTCACATAAGTCGCTGATCACCGCCATTACTAGTATAGCATCCATAGCTACGTAGCATATATCCCATAGTTTGTAGTCGCTATTCTTTTTTTCACAAACCATTAAATCTACACTTTTTGGGATTTTTTTTTACCATCGGCATGTACATACATTTTAGAAGAAGTTTGATTTTATTGGATATGTTTTATAAGGGAAAGTAGAGGAGAGAAAAAAATAAATAAATATATGTATATATATATATATATATATATATGTCCCAAAATACATCACTGACCTGATATCCATCTACCACCCAAAAAGCACTCTCTGCTCCTCACAAGACCTCCTACTCTCCAGCTCCCTGGTCTCCTCCTCCCATGCCCATCTCCAGGACTTCTCTAGGGATTCCTCCATTCTCTGGAACTCACTACCCCAGTCCATCAGACTGTCACCTACCCTCCTCAACTTTAGGCGCACCCTGAAAACCCATCTCTTCAGAGAAGCCCTCACCTAACTGCTGATCTCCTCCGCTCTCCCCAACACTCCATCCCCCACAGCTATTTCCTCCTGTACCACTCTCCCCTCCCTCCTAGATTTTAAGCTCCAAGGAGCAGGGCCCTCGAACCCCTCGTGTATTGTATTGTTACTGTACTGTCTCATGTATTGTCTCCCATTGTAATGTACAGCGCTGAGCAAACTGTTGGCACTATATAAATGCTGTGTAATAATAAAATATATATGTATATTACACACACACACCTCACATTTTTTCAAATATTTTAATAAATCTTTTCATGTGACAACACTGAAGAGATGACACTTTGCTGCAATGTGATGTAGTCAGTGTACAGCTTGTATAACATGTAAATTTGCTGTCCCCTCAAAATAACTCCACACCGCCATTAATGTCTAAACTGCTGGCAACAAAAGTGAGTCCACCCCTAAGTGACAAGGTCCAAATTGGGCCCAGTGGAGACCAAATACAACCAAAAAGCTCTTTGTGTATACATAAAAAAAAAAAAGTTTTTTTTGGGTACAGTGTTGCATGACCGAGCAATTGCCAGTTAAAGTAGCACAAAGCTGAATAGCAAAAAATGCCCTGGTCATGAAGGGGGTAAAACCTTCCAGTGGTTAATCAGAACTGTTTTTTGTTTTCTGGAGCAGGGAACAGATCATCCAACCAATGGGAGTAACGTCTGACGGGAGGCTGGAACCTCTAGATGAGTCTGCTCAGAGGATGCTGCAGCAACAGGAGTCGTCTGACTTGGAGACTGACTCGGACTAAACTACCTAAGCTGGAGGGGAGCACGGTCCAGGATCCAAGCCAAGCAGAGGTCACGTTGGAGCAAGAACAGTTATCCAGACACCATAAACCACAAGGGATATTAAACCTAGCTTACTGTAGATGTATCTGAGTCCTCTGCTGTAGGGCGGTCACTGGGACACTTGTAGCGTAACACGTTCCTTCTAGAGACTTCAGCCGCTTAGGACAAGGAGATGTGAAATTCCAGCTGCTGGAAGGCCCAGACTGAGAGTCCTAGGTGCTCTCCTTGGGGTATCTCTCTTCAGATTGAAGGTGGTCTTATAATTTGTACAAGTCCAAGGAAGCAAGCACGAAGCACACTCTAAGCACTGGAGGGCACTGTTACAGCACACAGAGCTTCCTTTCTACATGGTCTCCATAGGCTCGGTGAATGTTGCCAGTCGGGTTTATCCGCTCACTTCGCAGGTTGAAAGTTTTGGTTTTGAAATAGCCGCAGTACAGATTCTTTAGACCGTCGCATGTTCTGATGAATGATTTAGTAGAAAGGGTATTATTTTTCATTCTTTTTAATAGCAGTTGCGTTTTTTCGTTCTTTTACTACCATTTCCCAAACTTGACCTCTAGTACCACTTACAGCTATAAATGAGTAAATGGGTAGAAGTAACATGAAGTCACCTATATTTTAGTGAGTCAGAAACTGAGCTACCTTTACTAACTCCTAGACAAAAACAAGCATTTAATCCTTACAAGGCGGGTGTAGGCTGCTTCAATGAGTAAATACTCGTTTGTCTAGGCCAGGGATCGGCAACCTGCGGCTCTCCAGCTGTTGCAGGACTACAAGTTCCACCATGCCTCTGCAAGTCATAGCTGTAACTGTCAATTTTGCAATGTCTCATGGGAAATGTAGTTCCACAACAGCTAGAGAGCCGCAGGTTGCCTACCCCTGGTCCAGGGGATGAAAAAAAGCTCCACTTTTACTTACCTGATCCTCCACTCCCCTGACAAATGATGCTCCCCTTTGCTCCGGCAATGGACTGTTCCTCTGTGTCCCTGGCTATGGTTATAAAGAAAACAAACTGAGGGTTCACTGGCCTAGTGCATTGCAAGGCACATCATGAAAGAATGGAACTGTCCAATCCACACTACGTGACTGTCCACAATGGGAACCCTTCCGCAATGGGAAATCTATTCCAGCAGGCTCACGCGTTCGAGGACTTGCCTCTTCCTCAGAGCCAAGCCCTTGGCTTTGAGGAAAAGGCAAGTCCTTGAAACACGTCTGTCTGCAATGGGAACCCTGGACCTCCAACAGGCTAACACGTTTCAAGCACTTGCCTCTTCCTCAGAGCCAAGCCCTTGGCTTTGAGGAAGAGGCAAGTCCTCGAAATGCATCTGTCCGCAGTGGGAACCCTGGACCTCCAACAGGCTAACGCGTTTCAAGGACGTGCCAATTCCTCAGAGCCAAGCCCTTGGCTTTGAGGAAGAGGGAAGTCCTCAACGCGTTTGTCCGCAATGGGAACCCTGGACCTCCAACAGGCTAACACGTTTCAAGCACTTGCCATCTTCCTCCGAGCCAAGCCCTTGGCTTTGAGGAAGAGGGAAGTCCTCAACGCGTTTGTCCGCAATGGGAACCCTGGACCTCCAACAGGCTAACACGTTTCAAGCACTTGCCATCTTCCTCCGAGCCAAGCCCTTGGCTTTGAGGAAGAGGGAAGTCCTCAACGCATTTGTCCGCAATGGGAACCCTGGACCTCCAACAGGCTAACACGTTTCAAGCACTTGCCATCTTCCTCCGAGCCAAGCCCTTGGCTTTGAGGAAGAGGGAAGTCCTCAACGCATTTGTCCGCAATGGGAACCCTGGACCTCCAACAGGCTAACACGTTTCAAGCACTTGCCTCTTCCTCAGAGCCAAGCCTTTGGCTTTGAGGAAGAGGCAAGTCCTCAAAACGCGTCTGTCCGCAGTGGGAATCCTGGACCTCCAACAGGCGAATGCGTTTCGAGGACTTGCTTCTTCCTCAAAGCCATGGGCTTGGCTCTGGCCTGTTGGAGGTCCAGGGTTCCCATTGCGGACAGTCACGTAGTGTGGATTGGACAGTGCTGTTCTTTCATGATGTGCCTTTGACATTATTGTCATTTGTGAGTACAATACCTATCTTTATTCCTTTTAATAAATGTTTTTTAATGTAATGCACTAGGCTGGTGCGCCCTCTGTTTGTTTTCTTTATATCCAGTGCATTTGGACTTCCCTGGTCCTTTTGAGGGCAGCAAAGAGTGCACATTCCAGAACATCAGAGATGTGGTTATAGCCCAAGTTGAGTCCATCCCCAAGTGCAGGAATATTTGGGTTTGCTGTTTATGTGGCTATGGTCCCTGCATCATTTTTGATGATGTCAGAGACATCCGACTGCTGGGTGGCAGGGGAGAAATGGCTGCAGGGACCAATCTAACAGCACAGAGGAACAGGTAAGTAAAACTGCTTTACCTGGTCCCCCTAGACATGACTAGTTAACCATTCCACACTGCAAAGCAGAGCTTTTTACTTTTCTCATAGTTCTGCTTTAAAGCCCCACTTGAGGAAAATAATAAATGGCGCTGAGGGACTGATGGCGCTGAGGGACTGATGGCGCTGAGGGACTGATGGCTCTGAGGGACTGCTTACTGATGGCCTGAGGGACTGATGGCGCGCTGAGGGACTGATGGCTCTGAGGGACTGCTTACAGCCTGGAGCGCCAGAGCAGGGATAAGGTTAGACCTTTTCATTTCCCCCTTCAGGGGACCTAAATGCAAGGGTTTTGTTTTTTTTTTTTTTTTTTTTCTTACAGTTCAGAGTTCAGCTTTGAAATACTAATTACCTGGCTACCTTTTGGCTACTTATTCAAATTCTTATCTGGGAACATCAAGAAGTAGATAGACCCCTGGTGACAGTTTAAAGTATTTCTAAAGGCTTAATTTTTTTTCCTTAAATAAACATGTCTATACTTACCTGCTGTGTGCACTTGTTTTGCACAGAGCAGCCCGTATCCTCCTCGGGTCCCCCCGCCGACATTCCAGGCCCCTGCCTCCTGTCAGGTGCCCCCACAGCAAGCCGCTTGCTATGGGGGCACCCAAGTATGCACACTCCCCAGCTGCTGCTCCCTGTGTCCATTCACACATGGAGCCGTGGCTATGGCCATGCCCCCTCTCTATTCTTATGGCTCACTGGCTGTGATTGACAGCGGGGGGAGCGATTGGCTCCCGCAGTTGTTTCAGTCAATGAGGAGAGGGATCCCAGTATAGCCAAGACTCCAGTGCACATCTCTGGATCTAAGGGAGGGTTAGGGGGGGATGCTGCAAAGAGGTTTTTTTTTACCTTCATACATAGCACCTCCTGTCAGGTGCCCCCTACAGCAAGCAGCTTGCTTTGGGGGCACCCAAGAATGCGCACTCCCAGCTGCTGCTCCGTGTGTCCGTTCACACACGGAGCTGCGGCTGTGCTCTACCCTCTCTCTCCTCATTGGCTCACTGGCTGTGATTGACAGCAGCGGGAGTGAATGGCTCCCACAGCTGTCTCGGCCGTTGAGCAGAGGGTGTCCCGTTACAGCCAAGACTACAGTGCACATCGAGGCGGGGGGGTGTTAGATGAGTATTGGGGGGATGCTGCACAGAGGTTTTTTTTTTACCTCATACATAGCACCTCCTGTTAGGTGCCCCCCCCCCCCCCAGCAAGCACCTTGCTATGGGGGCATCCGTGAATGCTCACTCCCCAGCTGCTGCTCCATGTGTCTATTCACACACGGAGCTGCTACTTTGCCCCACCCCCTCTCTCCTCATTGGCTCACTGGCTGTGATTGACAGCAGCAGGAGTGAATGGCTCCTGCAGCTGTCTCAGCCATTGAGGAGAGGGAGTCCTGGTACAGCCAAGACTCCAGTGTACATCACTGGATCGAGGGGGGGATGCTGCACAGAGGTTTTTTTTTTACCTCCATACATAGCACCTCCTGTCAGGTGCCCCCAGCAAGCACCTTGCTATGGGGGCATCCGTGAATGCTCACTCCCCAGCTGTTGCTCTGTGTGTCTATTCACACACGGAGCTGCTACCTTGCCCCACCCCCTCTCTCCTCATTGGCTCACTGGCTGTGATTGACAGCAGCAGGAGTGAATGGCTCCCGCAGCTGTCTCAGCCATTGAGGAGAGGGAGTCCTGGTACAACCAAGACTCCAGTGCACATCGCTGAATCGAGAGGGGGCTTGGGTATAGGGGGGGGGGGGCGGCGCTGGGGGGAATGCTGCACAGGGAAGCTTTATTACCTTCATACATAGAATGCATGAAGGTAATAGAAACCTTGAGAATTTCAACCACTTTAAGACTAGTGCCCTGTGATGTAAGACAATGATTCTGCTAGCACCTCAACTTCAGAGACTTAGCAGTGGGTGGATTGGGATTGGGGATAAAATAATTACTGTTAGTGATCCTTTGGGTTCAGTTTGGGAAATACTGGTTATCTATTTTATCCGGATTCATCTGAGCACTGACTTATTTGAGCTGCCTGCAAGAAGAACTGTCTGTATGGCTCAAAGCCTGCTAGCAGCCTGCTTAAAGTGGCAATCAACAGTCCCATTAGGATTCAACATTTATAAACGAGCTGAAAGAAAGCTTCAACAAAGCTTGCTGTGCACTCTTACCTAAGCTGAAGCTCATGTAACACAGGCCAAAGAAGCTGATTGGCTAGCATGCACACAGCCGCACCAGATTGCAGTGCTCCAATTTTAGTAAATCTCCTCCAGTGGGTCTGATTTACTAAAACTGTAGAGTGCAAAATCTGGTGTGGCTGTGCATGGAAGCCAATCGGCTTTTAACTTCAGTTTGTTCTAATAAACTTTGCCAATAAAAACCTGGAAGCTGATTGGTTTCTATGCAGAGCTGCACCCGATTTTGCACTCTCCTGTTTTAGTAAATTTACCCCACTGATCATGACGTCTGAGCCTTTAGTTGGCACACATGGTAGCAGTCAGTCATTTCTGAAACATTCATTTGATTTTGTAATG